CATCCTGCATCCTGCTCCAAATGATCTTTACATAGGAGGGGAGTTTACCTCACAACTTATTTCTCACTTCTGAGGAAGCTTATCAACACAGGCGCTGATTCAAAAGAAGCTAATTAATCTGTCACCGTCCTCTACGGAAGATTAGATATTATATTAGATATTATGGTTTTATTTGATCTATGACAGATACAAGCAGATACAAGTGAAGGTTTTGGCTTCTCATCTGACAGGAAACATATTTATGAGGTTACATAAACGTGATGATACTGTAGATGAGATCTGGTTCATAAAAGTTCAGCTTCAACACTGGAGCCCTTTATGGCCACACAAGGAAGTAGAACAGTTTATTACTTATTATCGATATCACTACATTACAATACTACATGACGCCTCACAGTTTTAATTTATACACAGTATTGTGTTATCTTTGACAACAACTAAACATATTACAGCAATCATCCATAACTGCTTCCAAACAATCAAGAAATACCTGCATTTAGTATCTTCTGCTCTGTTCTCATGCAGTACGCTGAAGAGTCAGGAGGGAGATAACAGAGGAGATTCTTTTCTCTTTGGGAAACAAAACATTTTGTTCTGACAACTGATGGATACAGAATAAGCTTAAAGAGTAGGTTTAGTTTTTATGTCTACGCATCGGCGACAGCTAGAGCCGGAGGCATATTGCTTTCTGGTTGTCCGTCCGTCCCATTCTGGTGGATGCGATATCTCAGAAACACCTTGACGGAACTTCTTCAAATTTGGCACAAACTTTCACTTGGACTAAGAGATGAACTGATTAAAATTTGGGGGCTAAAGGTGCTTAAATTTTGGCAGCGACTGAACTGCTCCGGTAACATGAGCAAACACAAAGAGAGATTTTGGCAGTGTTGTCACTCTGTTCTGAGGAACTGTGGAGAGGCATGCCGGAGAGACCTCGCCTATTCCAAGAATATTATTAACAGTGCTGATTGGGGCCCTGCCCATCAGTTGACTGCTCCGAGCAATGAGATCCAAAGTCTCAAAGTCTCAAGTCCCATTGCTATAGGTGCTTTCGTTCCTGAGTTATTTCAACACAGGTGTGTAGAGTTACACCTTGAGGGAGGAGAATGTGCAGATGCATGTTGGTGTATTATTTTTAAAGGCTTCTTGTTTTCATCCATCCATCTTGAGTGCCTGGAATTGGATATCTTTATGCTAGGGTTAGCCATTATTAGTCCATTAGCCATTATTAGTCCAAATAACACAACATTTAGCCAATAGGTGCTATGCTAATACCCCCCATAACAGCCACTGGCCAGACACAATGTAAAAGGGGAACGGGTACGTGTCGGTGTGGGAGTATTTTACTTTCTCAGAGAAATATCAGCGATGCGTAGGCATGTTCCTGTGATATTTCAACGAGAGGCACTACAGGCAAGAAATTCCAGGGCTGAGAAGTGAAACCAACATGTAAGTGCTAAAAACTGCAGCTCTTTGAAAGACCACTAGAGGCTGGCTCCTTCAACAACACCACCAAGTCTCAGTCGACAACCACAATATTTGTGAAAGTGAAAAAGTTCCCCACAGACAGTGTTAAAGCTAAAGGGATCACTAACGAGGTGATGGAGGTCGTCACCTTCGATGACCAACATTTCTCCGTTGTAGACGTTTCAAAGCCTGATGGAGTTTATGGAGCACTACATACTGTTCAGTCATCGTCATTTTGTTGACCTCTGTCTCCCTGAAATGTAGAGCGCTGACACATTCATGACCTACTGGCAAACGACATCCCTGCAATCAGTTTTACAACTGATACATGGAGTTTGGATGCTAGCCAGATGGGCATCCTTAGCCTCATGGCACAGTGGATTGACAAAGCTTTTAACTTGATAAAAGCATTATTACTCTCGCAGGAGTTCATACTCCCTCTCTGCATCTGCTATCTCAGATGCATTTGAGAAAATGTTTGAAACATGGAAAATAGACAAATCCATTGATCCCAGGTGTAAGGACCTCTACTTTGATAAGGATTTTAAAGAGTGTGCACAAACAAAACTTGATGCGCAACTGATGGATAGACATACTGCTGGTGCTGCAGATGAGACGCAAGGTAAAGATGGCGCTGGTCGTCCACAGAGAAAGGTTGTACGAACGGACTTTGCTGAGGCCACCATGGGCCTTGGTTGGCAAAACCCGTCAACATCTTGAAAAGAGATCAGTCATTGTCAGGACATAAGGCTTATGGGTTCAGTTTGTTGAAACAAAGCAGTTTTTGTGAAGTCTCACCTGACAACATCTTGGGCTAAAAGTGTTCATATGTTTGGACTCATCATAGCCTCTTCTGGCTGCACCAAACTGCATCTCCTGAGTGTCTCTCCAAGAATTCTGTTTTGTAGGACAAATTGGTATGAGGCCGCACCCATACTGAGTGAAGTCTGTCCCTGAGGACATTCATAGCTTTGCTCTGAGTTGTGCACATGAAAAGTTACAGAAATAGTTAGTGAAAAGAATAAACAAAGAGAATTGAGAGGGAAGTTCATGCTCCTTCCTACTTTCACAACTCTCTCAAATTAAATCGAAGGCAACTGGACTTGTATTTGTCTGTGGAAGACGTTTCGCCTCTTATCCAAGCGGCTTCATCAGTTCATCATGTATTGGTCTCTCTAGTCCGCACTAGTCTGACTTTCACAACTCTGCACTCTTGACCAGTCAATGTGTAAGATGGGATTGCTTATCGAATTTATCAGTTCATTAAGTTTGATAGATGCAGCCATGTTTGAAGCTTTTCTTTTGGCCAACCCAAGTTTGTACCTGATGGTAAACTGATGGTTTGCTTTACGGCCCATATGTGCTTTGCTGTATCCACATTAAACCTGAGGTTTGTCTGTAAAGGCAACAAAGGACAGTAATATCAGAATGGAAGATCTCTTCCTTCATGTTCTGCCTTGTTCCTCTGTATATCTATATCTCTCCATCACTTCTACATTCCCACGCTGTCAAATCCCTCTATCCACAATCCCAGTGTCCAGATCTGACCAACGATCTCTCTGCCAGTGTTCACGAGCCAAACAATTACTGTTCTTCAGATATCATTGCAGTTCTGGTTTTTCCAGATCTACTATAGCGCAACCTGCCTCCTCCTCATTACCATCATCACCTCCATCATGTCCAGGAACATTTATCCAAAGGTTTCTATCAACCACCTGCTGATTCGACTGCACCAACACCACCAGCTTGACTCCAGGGATCCTGTCCTATTTCCTATCTTCATATTGACCTACGCTCAATGAAGGTGCTTCACATCGATGGAGTTAAATCGCCAAAACTCTCTCTGATGCTGACCTCAGTAAATTTTGTTACGCATTTCCATTTGATTGCTCCATAATTTAAAACCTTGTATATTTTTCGGTAACAACACATTTGAGAACCAGCAGCTGAATTTTATTCTCTATCAGGAATTGTAAGTCAGATAAAGACCAATGCAATTACCTGTTCCTGTCCATCCTTCACCTGTGCTAGGACTGCAGCATGAGAGCACCTCAGTGCTTACATCTGCTTAAAGATGGAGTGGTTTATAGAAACCTGCTCAAAGGAACAGATCCACATTCTGCTTCATGCATTCAGAGGATCGTAGTTGGACATGATCGTTCTTGGGAAGTGTCACAATGACTGCTTCACTTGTTTTTCTTTTGCTCACTCTGAACCTCTCCCCCTGTCTCCAGCAACTTGCATTTCTGAGGAACTTTCCAGACCACTTGTCCACCAGTTGCCCTTGGAGTTTCCTCACCAATTCGTGTCACCTAACTCTCACATTCACTTGCTTACCTGTTCACATTCCCATATCATCCACACCTGCTTCTCATTATTTCATCAGTCCTTCAGTGTGTATAACCAGTTCACCCGCCCTTTCCCTTTGGCAGTTCTTCATGTTGTTATTCATGAAGATTGTGTGTCCCATGTTCCTGAATATCTTTTGCCTGTTACTCTATCCTGTTGTCTGTACATACACCTGTGACAGGTAGGGTTCCTACTAAAGTGGCATTAAGGGTTGTTACTACTTTAGGAAAGGCAGAATGAAACTGCACAAAACCTGTAATAGCCTATGAACCCAAAGAATTATTGACCTTTTTTAGGTCTTTGAGCAGGTTTGCACTGGTGGACCATTTGCACTCTCTCTGGAATGGTGGACACTCTGCTCTTCAGGCATCAGGATGCTTCATGAAAGTTTTTCAGGTTGTAGAACAGTTTCTGAGACCATCTCCGCCCATAGCTCTCCTACAGAGACAAAAAGATCCTTCCTCTGGCTGCCGACCAGCTAACATTGCTAATCTAATTCTTTCACTCTTTCTACCTTTCTTATTTTCAGCAGTTCTGGTTCCTCACCTCTGGTGATGAAACAATGCATTTATTTTACACTGCAGAGCGATCCAGCCTATTGCTTTTAGTTGTTCTGGATGATGCTTTGTGTAAACCCTTTCTGATGGCATGTCCAGCTGTTGTCAAGCAGCTGCTTATCTCCCATGACTACAGCCCAGAACATCATCTGTGTTAGAAGCTCAGCCAGGGTCATGATGGGCCACTCTATATTCCTCTCTACCGTTTTCTTTTGATTGCACTCTTTCTACTTCACTGTTAAAAAGGACACCAACTAAACAGGTTGATGCCAGGTTGGGCTAAAAACATGAATTCCCAAAGTTGCACTTTTTAACCTCAAACATGCTTTTCTCTAAGACAGCCCAGTAATATATGAAACATAAAATCTACTGTAAAAACCAACCACAACATTTAAGTTTACAAGTAAAATATGGAGTGAACTATTGGTCAAACTCTACATAAAATGTACTTTGCTCAATGCACTCCTTTTGTCCCCTGATTTGCTGCTTGCAGCTACATTTTGGTTTCTGATCTGTGACTGGTTGGCTCAAACTGGCTAGGTAGCAGATGACATGTTGAGGGGAGGGAGCTACACAGACTTTATAATATAAAAATGAAGTGACAAAAAATTCAATAACAACCACAAACAGCTACAAGACATCACATCTCAACTGCTCTTAAAAGACAAAGATGTCCAACATGGAACATGGTAAGTATATTTCATATTCAGCAATTGAACTCAGGGTAGTGTTTGATAAACCAGCAGAGTAACATTTTATTCTCCTCTTTTATATTGTTTTCATAGATCATTAACACCAATGATGTTTAAAATACCTGCTTATAATACCTGCTCTCAATCATTAAATTTAAGCCTTTTATATATTTTAGTGAACATTAATCACTCATCTGCAACTATCAAGTTTGTTTGATTTTATTCTGTAATTTTTCAGTCCTCACTGACCTTGTTTGTTGTATGATCCTTTTTTTTGCTTCACAAAATTCACATCCTATAATTTTATTTATATTTATATAATGTGTCATAGTTGCATTGTGTTATATTTGACTACATCTTCTAAGCATGTGTGTGTTGTCTTGATGACTTTAAATATTTAACAGCTCTTTATCATCTGGCTCAATAATTCCTGTGTGTCACAAATTACATAGAAAATATATGAATATGTAATATTCACTGTGCCTAAGCTTTCAGACAAATCAAGGACATCTAAAAAATACTAAAAATTAACATTTGCAGTCAGTATTTAGTGCAGCTTATGATATTTCCATGGTCACACATGACCACTTGTCAACTTTTGTCATTTAACAGCTAAACTGTATTGGTTAATATTTTTGACTAAATTAACTTATTTAATTATTTAGACACTATTTTGCAAAAGAAAAAAATTAAATTGCAATGAAAATAAGTAAAATGACAAATCTAAAAAATTTGACATCAGTTAAAGTTTAAATTATTCCACTGCACTGCTGCAATTTCTTTTCATGTGTTTTACTTTTTAAACTCAGTAAATCAAAATGTGTTGAACTGCCATTTTATGAAGTAACTGTATATTAAACCAGGAGATGGGAGCATTAACAAAATTCCTTTGAATTCATGCTCTTACAGTGGCTGAGAAAATGTGCTTTTCAGGACAAAAATTGAATCCTTTGATTTAGTGATCTATAAATTTTATCGAAGGATACATTTATAGTTTACACCCAAGATGATTGGTACCATTTTTGCAGTCATGAAAGACTCCCCCACATTAATAAACACCCAGGTGTCTTTCCTACTTCATATTTAGTTTCAATAGAGAATGGGTTTAGCTTCACTAAGGAAAAGAGACATCCTGTTATCAGAGAACAAGTCATATTAAGGTGTAGTAAGTATTAGTATTAAGAGTAACCATGGGTCCAATTATAAGACATAAAGAGAGCAGTATCGTCAGCATATTGAATATACGACATGAACTATCTGCGTCTAGATTACTAATGTAGGATAATGAGAATAAAAGTTTATATCCACTTTCGTGCCCCTGTGAGACTGCAATGTGTATTACACACCAGAAAACTAAATTGTTGGATAGATGAAAAATAACAGGCAAATTTGCTTTTAGTTTCGAATTAGTGCTTAGCTGACAAAGCTTTTGTACAGATTATAACATTACAGCCGTGCAGCACTTACCAGGCTGCACGGCTATAATGTTATAAGTATCAGAGTACTTTTTTATAGCATAGTTTTCAGTTACAATTGATTTTTACTGAATTACTTGGGTCAAGACAGATTTTTGAGTTCAGGATGTGGTCAAATTAGTAAAAAATATGATGACTGGTATTGAATTGTCCATTGCACTTTCAAACAAATCAGGTGTGTGTGTGTGGTCATAGCTGATGTCACGCTAATGTAAATTATGTCCATTTAAAATCTTCCAACAGTGTCAGAACCAGAGGTGAGGATTGTGCTCTTTGGAAGGACCGGAGTTGGGAAGAGTTCATCAGGGAACAGGATCCTTGGGCAAGACATTTTTCCTGTTAATCAGAGTTTTAATTCTGTGACACAAGACTGCCAGAGGGAGATAAGAAAGCTTGGTGATGATTCTGGAGAAGCTCTGGCTGGAAAAACTCTGGCTATTGTTGATACTCCAGGTCTGTGTCACACCAAAAAAGATCATGAGTCGGTGATGGAAGAAATCCTAAATTGCATCACGTTGATTCAACCTGGTCCTCATGTGTTCCTGTTTGTGGTGGACCTGAGTGAGTTCTCACAAGACGACGAAGACACTCTGGAAAACTTCAAGAAAGTCTTCGAAAAATCAAAAAGTCACACGATCGTCTTGTTCACCCATTGTCAAGATAAACGTGACATTAAGAAGTTCTTGGAACAATCCCGAAATAAAAGTCTCAGTGACTACATCAAGCTTGGTGTGGACCACCAAGCCTTCGACAACAAGGCCGAGAATAATCAAGTGACCGAGCTGCTGGAGAAGATCAACAAGTTGGTCAATAAAAATGGAGGAAAATACTGTGAAGGTGCAGTGTTTGAAAAGGCTAAAACTGCCTTTGAAGAAATGCAAAAGTGCAAGTTACTTGACAGCTCACTCGATGTTTCAGTGCAGTTGAGGCAGTGGTACCATAAGGGCGTAGATGAGTTGGAGAAACACTGTCCATTTGTGAAATCTTACATTGATTTTGTGGTGAAGCTAGCTTATGAATGCATGCCACCTGAAGCTAAGCAGTAGAAGCTAAGTAGCTGGAGTACTAAAAACACATGACACAGGGAAAATCATAGTCATGCAAATGTGTAAATTTCATGTAATTTTTTAGTTTTCTTCTTTTTCACAGACGAAATCCTAAAGACTTCACTGTTATCAAAATGTATAAACTGTATAAACTTTGCTACAGTCATGTTTAGTGGACAGTTAATATATGGATCATTATTCAACATTGTTTGTTGCATGAATAAAATAACGGTCCTCTTTCAGTAGAAAAGCTTACGTGGTTATACTGCTACAAAAACTCTCAAGGAGGGGTCAGACTGCATGTTTCAACCAGTCCTCCAACCTGATCAACCATGCAGGTTCTCAACCCTCTGTTATGACCCATAGCAGTGTCTCCTGAAAGAGCACCCCTGCGCTGGCAGGCGTACCGGACCTTGGTTGTCATGGTTACAATAATTATAATCTCTCTGTATGATTTACTGCAAACCTTTGACTGAATCCTGTTGTAAACTACACTTACTGTGTGCTGAAAACTCTTTAAATGATTCTTTTACAGATGTGTGTTTGTGATGAGAAATCTTTTAATCAGATGTTTTTGATTTACACATTTGTGTTTTCATTATTATCAACAAATATCCTGAGTCTCTATATACTTGTTCATGTATTTACTTGTAATCAACATGTGTGGTGTGGTGATGGTTTATTATTGATTTGATTTTGATGGGCTGAGTTAGAAATCCAATTCATTCCCTGTGCATCCCTGGTATGTTACCTATGTTGCATCACATGATTAAATTCAGTCTGTTTATTCTTTGTGTATGATACTCATTATTCTGAAACACATACTATTCATGACATACGATTACACTCATTACATTTCTGTAGTCACTCATACAGACGTGCACTACACTGTATTCAGTAACACAAGTAGGCAGTTACATTCATACTTGATCAAACTTTTGATTTTGAGCTGCATTTACCTGAGTAGTGACACTGACTAACAGTCACAGCAGAAAGTGTGAGCTGCAGCTGTTTCTCAGTGTTGACAACAAGATGAAGTGAGAGAGGAGAGATATCTTATATATTCTTATCAATAAGTGCAGTTCCCAGCAGAAACAGCGCTTGTGACCACAGATGAAAGGCCAAAGAAGCTGCAGAGATCAGCGTGTGGAGCAAAACCAGCTCCAACTGAATTACAACAATAGACTTCTGTGTTTTTCTACATCAGGCAGTTTAGCGTCTCACACTGTGGAAAGTTGTAGGTGTTTAGATAAGGTCTGTTGAACTGATGAGAGTATATTGAGCAGCTGATGCCAGTCAGCTGATGTATACAGACCTTCTCTGCTCTGTCTGAACTGATGTGTATAGTCCACTATATACTGAGTTCACCATTTTGTAGTGCTGTCTGAATGTATAGTGAGATTTCTTAAACCCTATATTGTGGACTTATGCATCCCACAATGCATCATGCAAAATAGTGTGTGGTCACTACCCAAGCAATATATACCATCATGCATTGTGCTCGAGAAGAGAAAACTGTCCAAGTCGTGTCCAAAAGTGTTTTTTTATCGTCTGTCTGTGTGGAGTTAGCAAGAAGCATCAACTGAAATTAACTGCCGAATGTTTCCTGACTAAAACCGGACTGAAACATATTTCCAGTGCAAACAGCTGAGAGGTGTGTGAATCATTGTCTGTATTCAGTGTTGGAGAAGTCTGTAGCAAGACTTTCACAGAAAACACCACAGACATCAGAGGAGTCCCTAATCAGCTGATTGGAAACAGCTGTGCTCCCACTGTCCTCAGAGGTTGCCATGGTGATTTTATATTGAGACACACATTCAGTTGAAAGATATCTCTTGAACTCAGGCTTACCAGTAAAAGATCATAACTCCTGTCTCCTGAAGCTTTATATTTTCTGAGAGGAGAGACTCTGAACACAGTAAACTCTGTCTCTGTGTGGAGTTAGCTAGAGTGAGCTGGAAGCATCAATCGTCTGTCTGTCTGTCTGTCTGTCTGTCTGTCTGTCTGTCTGTCTGTCTGTCTGTCTGTCTGTCTGTGGCGCAAAAAATGTTGCAGTGATTAAAAAAAACAAACACTTTGTTTTCCTTGTTTCCCTCCTCAGTTTTCCTTCGAGTGAATGGGGCAGTTGAATGGTTCTCCTGCACCTTTAAAGCACATACTTCAAATTCTGTAAGTCTCTGGAAAAAGACAGATTTGCCCACGTTTTGGTGAAATAAACGACGAGTGAAGAGTGAAATTTGTGTCCATGAGAACAAGTGAAACAGACATATTTTAGAGCAGTTTATGTGATGTCACTCACTTTAGCCTCTGAACATTCTGTGTAATACACACCCATTATAAACAGAAGAAATCATGAAACTTAAACTGTGATAAATCAGAAACTGTACAAGATATCAGAAAGTTGAATACAAGTTAAATAGCTGAAAAGCTTGGGACCTGTTTAAAGTTGAAATTAAGTCTCTAGCTGAAAGTATGCCAAGATAGTTGAGTTACAAAGAGTTACATTTTTTTCCCATTCATTTCTAAGGGAAAGATTTCTGACAAAACGTTGAATATTTCGTAAATTATGAGACATACTGTATCTCTGAGAAAAGTAATCCCCAGAATGTCTCACATATTTCTAGGACTAGATAAAGACTAGATAGCTGCCAAAAAAGTGAGCGGAAAACAAAAGATAAATAAAATAGTGGGAAAGAACATATTGTGGGATTGTTTTGTCAGCAATCAGACCAATTAAAAACTCAACATCTGGCAAACACTGTCCATCCACTTTGACTACGTTTTAACACCAAGCATCATTGATGTACACTCAGTCCGCCTCCCCTCATCTTACCTTGTGTTCCGTCAGCGCGGATCACGGTCCACCCATCAAGGTCAGACGGATCCAGGATTCTGTAAAGATGTGGAGACAAGTCTCTGATCTTGCGTTGCTAAGTGAGCTTGAGTCTTATTTCATCCATTTTATTTTCATGCGATTGGACATTAGCCAGAAGCAGGTTTGTAGAGGAACAACCTTAGCCAAGCTAACTAAGCCTGCTGCACTTAATTCAATCCCTGTGCTTCCTTTTCCAATATTTATGGTTATATTTCTGTTACAAGTAATTGTATGTAAGACATGCTTCAGTAATGAAGGTGAACGAATGAGACTGTAAAAAAAAAAACAAGCTCATTGGTCGTCTGTGCAGCAGGTTATTATGATCCATTGTTAGGTTTTGTTGCTAGGCGACATCTAGTGGTCGTAGTAGTTATGACAGGAGCGAAGGGAAAAGTGTCGGTGACGTATAAAGAGACAAAGTCCACGTCAGGAGGAGGAGGAGGTGGATGGATAGCTTTCAATTCCCGTGTGAAAGTAGCAGTTTATGCTGTTTCCATTATTCATGACTGTTCGACAAAGTTAACCACATTGTTATTATCGTAACCATGACAACAAAGATCATTTAATGCTGAGGAAGTACTCATTTCAACCCGAATCACCATCTTTTCCTTAACCTGGCCAAACAATGACCATTATTATAGTAACCACAGCGACAAAGGTAGGTACGCTGCCGTTGGTACAGTTGTTCAGGTTGGAGGACTTGTTGGAACGAATAAAAATCTACATTATTAGCTACTATACGCCACTATTAGCGTAGTCTGAAGTCAGGTTGCATTGTGGGTAATGTAGGTGCCAGGTTTGACCAAAAAAGAAGAATAAATGAAATTCATCCATCCGTTCATCCATTTCCAGCCCTGACCAGGGCAGTGCAGAGGTCCCTCTCCCTGGCAGAGTCTTCCAGCTCCTCCTCAGGGAACACTAGTCCTTCCTAAGGCAGATGAGATATAGATTATCTCAAATGTGTTCTGGGTCTGCTCTGGGGTCTCCTACCAAAACCTCTAAAGGGAGGCGCCCAGGAGGATCCTGATCAGATGCCCAAAACAACTCAACTCAGTGTGAAGGAGCAGCGGTTCTACTCCGAGCTCCCTCTGAATGTCCGAGCTCCTTGCTCTATCTCGAGGACTGAGCCAAACTGCCCTGCAGAGGAAGCTCATTTTGGCTCCAACATATATAGGAACCTTTTAGGTACTAATGTTGGATTTGGATGTATGATATCTGAACTAATGTATTGTAGTGTGAGATAAATAACTGTTACCTAAGTTAATGAATGCTAATCCAAATTACCATCATTAACCCACAGAAACCCATAAAAAACTCAAAAGCATGTCCATAACCTTATTCATCATTCACAGCAATAGCATGTGTGCTTTTGTATCTCAGGTTTGTTTGTCTAACTTTATGTAGGTGTAATTATCTGCAGCTGTGACTAATGAACTTGTTTTTGTGTTTCAAATATAATAAAAAATAAAAACAGTCTCCCACTGAGTAAGATAAACTTCACAAAAGCAAGATTTTGTTTTTATTTCATTGTTCATGTCTGTAGGAAAGAACAATGATACTCCTTACAGCATGTTCATGTGTGTGTGTAGGTAAACTGTCCTCAGTACTTGTGGAAATGTAGCTACTCTACATAATATATTTTATCTCTGCCCCCAAATGTGTTGGTTGGAGCTACATCTTTATTTGTGATCTGTGACTGGTTAGATTTTGACTGGGAACAGGTGATGTGTACTTCAGGGGAGGGAACTTGCAGCAGGCTATGATATATAATGATGAGTTGGAAATTAAAATAGTCAGAAGAAGACATCCACAGTGACAAGATATCACAGATCAGCTGCATTTACACAGCAAAGATGACCAGTGAGAATTTACTGCCTGGTGAGTATATTTCTTAAACAGTCCTAATGCTCTGGGTGCTGTCTGGGTTTGATATAATTGGTAAAAATTATAAACTAGTTCATCAGTTATATTCATGATGCATGATGTTTTCCAGCTCTCAGCTGTCAAAATAAGTATTAAACCCTTCATTTCTATTGTTTTGAGTTAACTTTTAATCAGTCATCTAAAGATATGAGATAATATGATTGTATTTTGACAGTCTGTACAGATCCCATTGACTGTAACTTTTTTATGTCAAAGTTGTTTTGTTTTATCTTATTATATATGTTTACCATAACTGTATTATATAGAATATGATAACCTCTTTCAGTTACTGTGTACTTCCCATTTACTTTGTTTGTTCTGATGACTTTGATGTTCTGACTACAACTTGACCTGTGTGCTGGCTTCTTAGTCAAATCAGGGGATTTAGAATAAAAATACAGGTTGAGAAATTATGATACAAGGGAAAAAATCTCATGTGGCATGGAAAGTATAAATATGTGACACATTTCATACACAGGCAGTTCAAACAGCACAACAACTGCAAAACACCCAACTGAGGGCGCAGTCCAATGTAGTGCAGAACAGAATTAATCTGGATTTAAAGGCAGTGTCATTTTCTCTGGAGGTTTGTTCCAGTAACTAAAGGCTGCTTCTCCATGCTTAGTTTGCACTTTGTGAACAGTTTGCAGCCTTCTGACTGATGATGTGAGAACTGCTAGGATGTCTTCACTTGTCTTTTTGTTAGGAATCTAGGAGCAACTTTCTGAATGAGAGAAAACCATTACAGTAATTTATCCTGCTGGTAACAAAAGAATGGATTAATTTAAAGTCCTGCCTGGACATGATTCCTGTTTTTAAAATAAGAGAATGCAGACTTTGTTGTTAATTTGTTAAACTCTGAGTCCAACATTACACCAAGTTAGATTGGACACATAGAAGATGAGTGTTTACTCTCAGACTTCCTTCTAAATAATTAAAGACAATTATTTAGGTGAAAGAATTCAGACACATCCATTCTTTTATTTGTTCATTTCCCTTCTAGAGAGAATCTATGGGTCTGTAGACATTTGGTGACAGAGCAAAGTAAATTTGGATGTCATCTGCATAATTATGGTAGTTGATAATATTGTTTCAATGGTACTAAAAAGAGGAAGTATTATTGTATTGGTGAAAACTAATTAAAACAACAATGCCAAGCTAGACAATTAATAGTTTGCGTTATGTGCCGTGGGGTTATGTGAGGTACATTACCAACAGTAGATTCTGTTCAGAGCGCTCCCAGTTAGGAAAGCCGACCGACAGCACAGTGTATTTATAGCCTTGTGTTTACTGCAGTAATAGTTCTTCCTCTACTGATGTCTGTAATATTTCCCACAGAGCTGAGGATTGTGCTCATTGGGAAGGTCGGAGCTGGAAAGACGGCAGTCATGAACAACATCCTGAGGATCTCAGCGGAGAGAGGAGAGGATGAGGCAACTTCAGGCTCCCGCATATGTCCCAACTCTTATACAGACAAGTGTCAGAAGGAACAAGTGAAGATCGGTGGACGAAACGTGGTTGTTGTCGACACTCCAGGTCTGTGTCAGACAGGAAAAGAAGACAAGCAGGTGATGGAGGAGATCAAGAAATCTTTCTCGAATGTTAATCCTGGTCCTCATGTGATCCTGTTCGTGCAGAAGGTGAGCGCGTTTGTAAAAAGTGATCTTGACAGAGTGGAGACTTTTAAGAAAACTTTCGACGATGAGGTATTGAAATACACCATGGTGTTGTTCACCCTTAGAGATGAAATGGAAAAAGGAAGAAATATTGAGGAGTTAATTCAAGAAAACCAGGATCTCAAAGACTTTGTCTCTAACTGTGAGAACAGATACCATGCTATTGACAACACAGTCCAGGATCTGTCTCAGGTCAACGAGCTTCTGGAGAAGATCAACCAGATGGTAAAGGAAAACAAAGGAACATCTTACTCGGTAAAAGCAGCTCATCTTAAAAGGAAACTCGCACTCACTGTAGGTGGGTCTGCATTGGTTGGAGCTGGTTGTGTTGGAGGAGTTTCACACTTTCTTGGGAGCATGGTTGGAAGTACAGTAGGAACTGTAGCAGGAGCTCTAGTTGGAGGTGCAATGGGCGCTGCAGGGATCGTCGCATTGGAACACATTAAGGCTAAAACAAAAAAATAATGAATAAATATTTAAATTCAAAAGTTTTCCTTAACAGAGACCAGGACTGTGTTGTAACAGCTCTTGAAAATCCATCACTAAGTTTGAACGTCAAGTCCCTCCTGAGTACTCAGTAACCACTAGCTGGTGATTTACTAAATGAGGATGCTCCATTAAAACATAATAAATGTCTTAGCAAGTCAAAACTTCAATAACGTGTAGATTGGTTGTTAGGAAATGTCTGTTGTGCTGTCCAGTCAAAATCAATAAACTATGTAAATGAGCATTACAAGCTAGCATGAGGTCCTAAAATTACACTTATTAGAGGTGTTAGTTTTATTCTGTATTCTGTTATTCTTTTACTCTGTTAGTTTTAGTCTGCATACTTACAGCTCATAATGAATGGAAAATATACCGTTATGCTAACCTAACTACATAGAGACACACAACAACCACTAAGAGATGCAATATGACAAATAACTATAAAGAGACATAAAACAATTACAAACCCTGCACCTCCACCAGAACAATGAGCTGCAGAGTGAGTCAGCTGAGGCTTCATTTGATCGATTGTAAATGTAAAAACATTGTTTATAGCAGCTTAATGTCATTTGTATTTGTTCCAGCTTTTAAAATGTGAGGATTTGCTGCTTTTTTCTTTGTTTTATCTCATTGTAAATTAATTATCTTTGGTTTCAACCCTGTCTCTATACAGATGATACAAGTTTCTATACATCTAAACTTCAACGTTTTATTTCTATCATAACAAGGAAATGTAACAAGTCACAGATGTGTTGATACTGAACATCTGTTCCACCTGAATGTCTGATCTCACAGTTAAATCTCCACCTGTAGTGACTCCAGCTTTATTCAACTGTTCTATGATTCTGTTCAGACTCTCAGCTGCTGCTGAGACACTAAAACTTCACAACCTGTTTATTTACATTCAACCTGAACCACCATCTTTCCCTGACCTGAACCACAGAGCTGCTGTTCTCTAAACCACAGACGGGACTCTGATGTGAACTGGTCTCTGATGTGAACTGGTCTCTGGATGAACTGATCTCTGGATGTGAACTGGTCTCTGATGTGAACTGGTCTCTGGATGAACTGATCTCTGGATGTGAACTGGTCTCTGATGTGAACTGGTCTCTGGATGAACTGATCTCTGGATGTGAACTGGTCTCTGGATGAACTGGTCTCTGGATGAACTGGTCTCGGTCTCTGGATGAACTGGTCTCTGATGTGAACTGGTCTCTGATGTGAACTGGTCTCTGGATGAACTGGTCTCTGGATGAACTGGTCTCTGGATGAACTGGTCTCTGATGTGAACTGGTCTCTGGATGAACTGGTCTCTGGATGAACTGGTCTCTGGATGAACTGGTCTCTGGATGAACAAGAGACTGAACTTTGACTGACAATCTGCTGCCAGTCGTTCGTATTTAAGTATTTAGTGACTGAAGACATTCAGACAAATAAACAGCTTTACCTGAAGATAGCTTTGTCTTCTGTTAAAGCTGATGCTTCTGTACTTTTACTTGTAGTATTCTTCTGTGCTACTTTAGTAAAAATCTGAGTTTGTTTTTCAGGGTGTTTTTGTTCATTCTCAGAAATAAAAACTGAAATGACGTCGTATTATTTAAGAGTCTCATGAGGAGTCAGCTGACCACTGATCACTGTTGAAGTGAAATTCTTTCAGTTGAAAATTGTGATCAATATATCAGATGCACTAATGCAGCAGCTCATCCAGCAGACGACAGTCACAGGAGCTGGTCATGGAAACTGCTGTGACCCACTTTGTGTCTTTGACCCTCCCAGTGTTCAGATAAGAGGAAACTATACGGTTGATGTTGGCAGTGTGGCGATTTATGGTGCAGTTCCTGGTCTTTTATCTGTGTGCTGATGTCCACGCTCGTAAACCTCACGGTCCTTGGCAGGAATCAGTTATTACACGGTGAGAGTGACTGACCTATTTCTGCTGGTGGTGAACTCAGATCATAACAGACGAGAGCAGATGTTCAAATGAGTAAAACAAACATAAAGAGACACAAAATGACCAAAGAGACTGAACTTTGTCTGATAATCTGCTGCCAGTCGTTCGTATTTAAGACTTTTTTAACCATGTTGGATATTTGACATTAGCGACTGAAGACATACGGATAAAAAAACAGTTTTACCTGAAGTTAGCTTTTTTTTTTTGTTAAAGGTCTGTGATGTCACAGTCGTAAGGTTTCTGCTCCTTCCTGTTTGGGTTGTCTCGATACTAGAATTTCAAACTTGATACGATACTCAGGAAAATACTCGATACCACAGGGAGAAAAAAATTACCCTTTTTTTAATAAAGATTAAAACAACACAAATAATAACATCAATGACAACACTATTTTTAGGTTGTCTGAGGTAGTGCAAAAATATATGCAGTATATATGACACAACACTTTTCAGACACAAATAATTATGTTATCCTGTTAAATGAACAGTCTTTTAACGTTACAGACGGGCAGGACTGATGTTTGCTGCCTAACTCCCACATTAACATTAGTCGTTTTATTATTAGCCATAGCAGCTAGCTTAATGATAACAGACGGCTAATATGGCTATCGGCTAATTGCTAATAGTTAAACGGCTAATGTGAACGTGTGCCGCCGCCCAGGTAAAATAATAATGTAAAATAATTCCAAACGGCACTTTTTCTTTTTTCATTTTCAACTTAAACATGTCGTAAAGGTTCTTCAGCAGCAGCACTCGCCATGTTAATGTAGTTTTATTCTGGAGACACCAGCTCAGTGTGTGTGAACGTCAACTAGCGTTCATGTGTTCAGCTGCTGGTGGGGGGAGGGGCTGTGTCTCTGCCTGTCTGCAGTGCTGCTGTATGAAGTTGTGTCAACTGGAGGAGGTGAAGACGGCGCTGTTGGTATCCATACTGTTTCAAATCAGTATCTGATCAGATGCTAATTTTTAGTATCGATTAATATCTGAGTATCGATTTTTTTGACAACCCTACTTCCTGTGTCTGTGGGTGGAAACAGTAAATAAATGATGAGGTGTTATAAGAGAAACAGCTGCCCAGATGATAGAAAGCAGTTCAAATGGTCTAGACCAGCTGTAACATTATATTGATACGTGCTTCAATATTTAGAATACAGTAATATACATGAGATTTAGAAAGGGCCCATTCTGCATAATGAGAACTTTTACTTTTGTTCCATAAATATATTTTGATATAAAGCTGATGCTTCTGTACTTTTACTTGTAGTATTCTTCTGTGCTACTTTAGTAAAAATCTGAGTTTGTTTTTCAGGGTGTTTTTGTTCATTCTCAGAAATAAAAACTGAAATGACGTCGTATTATTTAAGAGTCTCATGAGGAGTCAGCTGACCACTGATCACTGTTGAAGTGAAATTCTTTCAGTTGAAAATTGTGATCAATATATCAGATGCACTAATGCAGCAGCTCATCCAGCAGACGACAGTCACAGGAGCTGGTCATGGAAACTGCTGTGACCCACTTTGTGTCTTTGACCCTCCCAGTGTTCAGATAAGAGGAAACTATACGGTTGATGTTGGCAGTGTGGCGATTTATGGTGCAGTTCCTGGTCTTTTATCTGTGTGCTGATGTCCACGCTCGTAAACCTCACGGTCCTTGGCAGGAATCAGTTATTACACGGTGAGAGTGACTGACCTATTTCTGCTGGTGGTGAACTCAGATCATAACAGACGTGAACAGATGAAACAGGAGGAGAGGTTGAAACAATAAGAAGGACTTACTTCAAACACAGGACCACACAGGAGACTCAAACAGGCCAACCCTTTTTTACTGTTTGTTTCCATATCACATCTGTATTTACACATTGTAAATATATTAGATTGTTGTTCATCTCCTATGGTGAAAATATGTAAAAAGATAATATATATATATATATATATATATATATATATATGAGGCTGTGAGACTGTGATGATGTGATGATAGGAGCGGTTATGTTGAGCCTTTGAGTCCCTGGTACACCCTGTCAGTAGACCCTGTTGGAGGAGGGTTGAGGCTGAAGCTCTGAGGCTCATTCTGCAGGTGTTTAATGAAATGCTGCCCCCTGGTGGTCACAGGGGGAAACACACACTCAATGATCAGGGGAGGTGCAGTGAGTGGTGTTAAACATAGTGAAACATGTTAAAGCTGAACTCCACTGATTTCCCACCTCAGCGTGTTTACAGGTGTTGGGGTGTGAAGCCTTTAGTGTGTCCAGAGGAAAACTTTGCTCACCGTTTTTCCAACCGCCAGTCAAACCCGATAAAAACGGACTATGGCGTCACCAAGAACCGACCAATCAGATCACTCGTGGCGGGAATTTGAGAACAGAAATGGCTGAAGTCCGAGCGTAAGTCTCTAAAAACTTCAACATTTAACGTTAGTCCTCTCAGTTAACGTCTGCTCTGTTCAGAGGAAGTGATTTAAATGTGTCTGGACGTTCAGCCGAACTTTCCCGCGCCAAACGATGAACTCAAATGTGTGAAACCATGAGATTTAACGGCAGTGACGGATGTTCGAGAGCTAGCTAGCTAGAGCTAACTGACAGAGCTAGCACTTGTTGTTGTTGGTCGGTTTTCAGACTCCGTGTGAAATAAACATGGCGCGCTGTTGTGTGTCTGTTTGTTGTGTATCTGTGTCTGTTGTGTGTCTGTGTTTGTTGTGTGTCTGTGTCTGTTGTGTGTCTGTGTCTCTGTGCTTCAGTGTGTTGCAGCGCTGTGATCCGGATCTGCTGGACCCCCGCGGAGACTCGGAGCAGCCGGACTCTGCTGAAGCAGCCAGGATGGTCGTCTACCTCACGGTCAGGAGTGACGTCAGGCCACCGCCACCTTTACATCTGTGGAAACTTGATTTCATTAATGACACACACCATGGACCAGGTCCAGATCAACAACCACTGCACTCAGACTTATCAGCCCTGGACTAGATTATAACAGACACCATAAAGATCTTTTAAAACACAGATTCAAATTTGTCAAACCTTTATTCAGTGTGTGAAAAGGCAAACATAGCAATTTACAGATGTTTTTTGTACACATCTGGACCACATCAGGCAGTTTTAGGACTTGTGTGTTTATCTGTGTGACTGAACTAAACAGGGACGCTCTCAAACCCAGCACCATGAAAGTGTGTGTGTGTGTGTGTGTGTGTGTGTGTGTGTGTGTGTGTGTCATACATATACACGTAGACAGACTCATGTGATTACCTATGAATGCAGAGGGGAGGAGCAAGTGAAAGTGAAAGTGTTTAGTGTTTGTTCAGACTCCAATTTGAGTCGACGCAGCAGAAGGAGGGAAACTGATGCCTGAGGCGGGGGAGTGTAAATACAACATTATTATTATTTTACTGTGAAAGTCTCAGAGTCAGTTTTCTCCGCTTGGAATGTGGGGGAAGAAGAGTCAGAGTGAACTTTTGTCTCCACACAGAGACACTGAGTAAAAAAAGGAGGGAACTAACATGAGCTGTGGTACGTCTCCTTGTTCTCTGCGGTCAGAATCAAACAGTTTGAGTCAATGTTGTGATGAGCTGAATAATACGACTAGAAGAACTGAGCAGTGTGGAAGTTTATTATACTGTTATTTCTGTTAGTGTGTGTGTTACTTCCTGGTTTCTCTTTAGTGTTGCATGTTGACTCTTGAAGCAGATTGTCCTTGACTCTTGTGTGTCTGAGCTCACAAGTCAGTGTTACGGTTCCCCTCTCAGACCTGACTGAAGTGCCTGTTAAGAATGAGTGATGGTGTGGAGGAAGAGGAAGGACGGAGCAAAGTCCTCAGGATCCATTGCTGTTCTGTCTATGAAGAGTGACTCGGATCCGAAAGGACATCTTCCAGACTTCTTCTGATGAACCTGTACGCGCTCCAGACTCACAGTAAGAGA